TAATATATATATATATATATATATATATATATATATAAATATACTTTAACATTTTTGTATTTTGTGTCACATGAACGATATTTTGGTAAATGATGATTTAAAGTAAATATATTTTCAGTTTCAAAAGTATAGTTCATTGAGCTTCACCGTTTATGACAGTTAGCATATATTTAAAAAATATTTTGGTGAGGGAAAAATTTTTTTTTTTGTCGTATGGATCTTCAAAATATCTTTTTATATTTCATAATGAAAGTCAATGGGAACCTAAATTTTTTTGGTTAGCAATCTTCAAAATATATTCTATGTTCATCAGAAGAAAGAAAGTCATGCAAGTTTAAAACGGCATGAGGGGGAGTAAATGACAGAATTTTCATTTTTGGGAGAACTATTTCTTTAAATACTTCATTTTATTTAAAAATAATCACAATGATATTTTGAATAAGCCAAATAAAAGACAAATAAAACCTAAATATTTCCTGTCTCTATGAACTCAATCTGTGCTTGCTGTTTTTCAGAAGAATGAGTACTTGTTCGCCGTGGTGAAGGAGGATGTCGATCAACTCCTGCTTGGCATGCGTTTCTCTAAAGAGAAAGTACATCTCATCTATCAGGGCTCAATGGGGAGGGAGCGTCTCAGCTTTAAAAGAATCCACCTGGCAGACAACCGCTGGCACAGCATGGTGTTATCCATCAGCGGTCACCATGCCACCCTCACTCTGGACTGCGGCATCCCACTGGAACTGTGAGTCTGTGATGCCTTTTAGATGACCTCAGAGCTAAATTTTGTTTTTTGGTTACAATTTCTTGGCCAAAATGTGCAAATACACTTGCACTCTTGAATTCTTGAACAATTCGATAAATTAAATGCAAATTTCATTTTATTACATAGTAGTATTAAAAATAGTGAAGCAATATCTTTCCAAACCACAAAAATACATTCAGAAACAAAATATATAAATATAATATAATCTCAAAGTTGAGATCTGGGAGTAATGTACTTTCCCTGATGGTTTTCAGGGTCCATAAACAGCCATTTCCCTCCGATCTCAGCACTGATGGCTCTAGATTTCACATTGGAAGTCGAAGGAAGTGGAAAGGCCTGTTCTCTGTAAGCATTGGATTCTGATATTGCCATTTAATTTGCCTTCGTTAAAATATATTAGCTTACACACAAACATACCTGTTGGTATGATCTGTCTTCTTTCTTAAGGGTTTACTGCGGCAGCTCGTCCTTTTGGCTGGATCGGACGCAACGCCACGTGTTTGTCCCTCTTTCAAACCATCATTGGTTGAGTTTTCTATCCCTACGATCCTGTCAAACTTGCCAGTGAAATCCCAACTGAACGACGTCCTGCTTCCTCCATACGGTAAAACTAAAAGATTTTAATTCAAATGATGTTAAGGTTAAATATAAACATCTTGAAACAACAACAAATATAAATGTTTAACAAATAAATGCATCAATTTAAAAAAAAAAAAAAAAAAAAAAAAGTCACTTCAAACTCATATGACTAGAACACAATTAAATACTCAACAATTATAAAGGTTGCCATCTATGCTGGTCTGTGTGTCACACAAAGGCATTATTAAATTATATTATTAAAAGAATTAGCTTATTTTTTAGCTATAGCTATTTAAACATACAGTGCATCCAGAAAGTATTCACGGCTTTATTCCAAAATGGATTAAATTAATTTCTCAATTCTACAAACAATATCCCATAATGACAACATGAAAGTAGTTTGTTTTAAATTTGCAAATTTATAAAAATAAAAAAAAAACCCACATGTACATAAGTATTCACAGCCTTTACTCAATACTTTGTTGAAGCACCTTTGGCAGCAATTACAGCCTCAAGTCTTTTTGAGTATGATACTACAAGCTTGGCACACCTATTTTTGGGCAGTTTCTCCCATTCTTCTTTGCAGGACCTCTCAAGCTCCATCAGGTTGGATGGGGAGCATCGGTGCACAGCCATTTTCAGATCTCTCCAGAGATGTTCAAGAGGGTTCAAGTCTGGGCTTCGGCTGGGCCACTCAAGGACATTCACAGAGTGGGCCGTAGCCACTCCTTTTTATCTCGGCTGTGTGCATACGGTTGTTGTCCTGTTGGAAGATGAACTTTCGCCCGAGTCTGAGGTCCAGAGCACTCTGGAGCAGGTTTTCTTTAAGGCTGTCTCTGTACATTGCTGCATTCATCTTTCCCTCAATCCT